TAAGGTAAAGGGATTATAGTGCCATGTTTAAAAGTATATTTTCATGATTATCGTGATAATATCGTGTATCACAATTATTTTTGCCAAGATAATTGTGACATGAAATTTTCATATCATCCCATGCCTGATGGCAAATACAATGTTTAACATTAAGGTTGAGCATTTTCCATAGCATGCGAGTGGTTTAGGAATGGTGAAGGTGGCCACTGGTTTCAGTTAATTTTGTAATAAAAAAATAAAAAAAGTAATCCAGCAGTTGGTCCATAAAGCATGGAACATCGTTGTCTAATCTTGGAAGTTTTTAAAAAAACTGCACATAACATTTAAGCATGCAAAAATGCATGTGTAGTTTACATCTTAATGTAACATTTTATTTAACAAGTCTGTGAATTCCCAATAATTTCCTAATGATTTCCAGTTTCCTGGAAAGAACTATGTAAACTGGTGCTACTTAGGTGAAATAGAGTCAATTGTACCAAGTAATTGGTACATTTCCAATTCATTATTTCCAATTAACTGTAACCTAAACAGTCTTTTAGTCAGTGCACAGCAGGTCAGCAGAACATGTAAAAACGTGTCCTCCTGCAACTGTAGAATTCAACATTCAACACGTACATGGAGAATTAAGTTTCCCATTACAAATGATTAATAAATGATAATTTAGTAGGTTTTAATTGGGGTGTTTCTTTCGAGGAAACTTCCTTCAGAAATTACTGGGAAATGAGGGACCCATAACAAAAAACACTATAAAGTTTATATCTCCTTCCCTCAAAGCACAAATAAAAAATGGTTTACATATTTGCTGTTATTGCAAAACACTTAGTTTATCTTCTTTATTTATATTAAATAGTACATAATATATGATAGTCATTTAATTTTATGTATAAATATATTTTAATTAAAGTTTAAATTACTTGGAAGAACAAATAACAAGGAAACACTGACATTGTAAAAACTCAGCAGCTTCCTGCTTAAAAAAGGTTGCTGTTTGGTGCTCGGCACGTTGAGGCTTCCCACCAGCACAGACCATGAACACAAAACTACTGTAATACAGAGGTAGAGTAACGTAAAGCAACATGAAGACAGACAGAAATACAGAAACACAGAGATAGATAGGTGAAACCAGTGGCTGCCAAAAGGGGAGAAAGAGTGGCAGTAATTCAAAATATATGATATGAAAAACACAGGTATGGTCCTTTAACTACCCTCTGACTCAACCATACGAATAATGGAACAATGTAAATGAGGTCACTGGGTCCCTGTGAACACTTTGTGGTCAGTTTTCTTTACTGTAAACAAGATTGCTGATATAACATTTATGTTACACTATAGTGCAATGGACTGTAATGTAGTGCTGCCAATCAGGCCTCATTTACACTGCTATAATATCACTTAAGATGTGACGAGCCCAGGTTAATTCATAGGTAATTTAGGCCATCGGTAATTTTAGTAGATAGTGTTACTGTTGTAGAGAAGACTCTTTTGCTAACCGTGTTCATTCACTTTTATTTGAACAGTTTGTGTTTGAAACCTGTGGAGGAGTGATGAGTTCAGCTTGGAGTCATGAGCAAATGCACAACAAACAGCACGAAGGCCAGGGTGCTTCCTTCGGGGCAGAGCTAAAGCTGATGGGATCGGGTATGGGTTTAACTAAACTTATGAGGTCTATCATCTCACCTTTTCACACCCAACAATAAACTCACAGGACAGTATGAAAGAAAGAAAGAAAGAAAGACAAATAAACCAAGGTGAACAAACGAAAATGAACGCAGCAAAAATCAAAAGACAGATTTTTGAGAGGAGACATTTTGAGCCGGCAAGCCTGACATGTAACAAGCGACTTGACACACAAACAAACACACACTAGCTTGCAAATAATGCACTTTGTCACATTTACTGACTGCAATGAACATTCAAGCACTCCTTCACCAGCCTCTGAATGCTTAAGCGCTTTCGAAAAAGGAGGTTACGGTGCAGGGAATAGAACAACTCACCTGCTGTCTGTGTCCAAACCCACAAAGTCCTTCTTCTCAAAGGGCACACAGAGCAGTGGTATCTTGTCACCTGACTTGTCCGTGGCGCGGTCCAGCCGCTTGGACTCCAGGACAATAAATATCGACTCCACAAAGTCCTCCACTCTCTTCTCCACATCAGAGCAGTCTTCGTAGCTGGGGTAGAAGGCCACGTCTGTCCGCTGCTGCTCCGCGATGTCTCCCTGCAGCCCGAACACCAGCAACCGCGAATCATACAGCGTGGAGCTGTACACCTCCTTCTGGCCGTGGAAGCGCTCGGCAGTCTGGGGCCACTCCTTGGAGGAGGCGCAGGTGGTGATGGCGATGAGGCCCACCACCTTGCGGTGCGTCTGGAAGTCTCCCCACTCGTTGTTTTCAGGCAGGTAGTGATGGCGGTAGCGGATGTAGAGGAGACGCTGCGAGTCCCTGATGCTCACCTGGCTCACACCGGCAATGCGTTTGTAGATCTTGAAGAACTGGTCCTCGGGTACGATGCCGACCGGCTGGACCACCACTAGTACCGTTTGGTGGTCCTCTGCACATTGCATGTAGTCTGGGACGCTCATCTTCACATGCGGCTTCGTGGGACAGAAAAACAAAAACATCAATTCACATGCAATAACTTAGGACATATTTACAATGCTGGGAGCAACTCAAATGACATTTTATTCATGTCTACTGTATTAGTGTGAATGGACACAACTTAAAACTAGTGACGCCGAATAAAAAACAATCTGCATGGAAAACAGGGCTGCACGATATGGGACAAATATTGTGATTGCGATATGATTGACAATTAGTGGGAGAATGATCATTTTTGCATCACAGATTTCATTTCCACTGACAAAAGTTTTAAAATCATTAAGATGTTACATTTTTGGCGGCGGTACCAAACAAGATTTGCAGGCCAGAGCATCTCTGCAGCTCTACAGCACTACGTACCACAGAATGTTGTTCGTCACACGTTTCACCTTTTATCAAAACATTGCAGCTTCTGCGATTGGGATATTGCATTTGGCCATATTGCGATTTTGATAATATTGTGATTATTTGCCCAACTCTACGGGGGAAAGATAATTAAAGTAGGTGAGAAAACTACTTCTATACTTTGGGTGCAGTGCTCTTTAAACAGTAAACACCTCAGGAGCAAAAGAATAGAGAGA